ATAGCATACATGCATATACAGCAAATATAACATAAGCTCGCTTATCAAGTAGGTATTTTTAAAGTCACATGAAGAGAATGTTTTGTTATTCTGAAACCCAGTTAGGTTTCTGGGATATCTAGAGACCTAGCAAAAGGAAACTATCACATGGACTTTGGGAATGTGGGGGTGACTGGCCTCTGCCTGGGTGCCAGGGCTCTCTGCTGGCCTGGCTGTGCAGGCAAATGTCCTTGTCCCCATGAGCTTTCATGACTCTTTGGAGAGGCCTGGTGCCTTAGTTAATAAGGAAGGACACAGGAAATATTTTCCAAAAAATTATCTTCTATCTGACCCTAAAAAAAGAATCCATCCCATATTAAGTTACTGCTACTATTTATTGAATGCTTCCCGAGCGCCAGGGAAAGGTGCCAGGCACTTTGTACAAGACAATAATGCAGTGAAGATGCTGTTATTCATTCCCCTGGGAACTGATTTAGGAGGTTAAATATTTTGCCCGAGGTAGGAAGGTACCAAGTGGCAGAGCGACGATGCAAATCCACGCGTGGTTCTTAGACGCGATGCTTTGTGCTTCGAGTTGTCTACCACATAGTGTGGCGAAGCGCCTCTCTCTGCTTCCGGTTACATTCCACGGAGAGGGGGGAGGCAGGCTCCCAGGATGCTCAGTGTTTCCTTCCATTTTCCCATCAGCTGTTCAGTCTGTCTGAGGCAGATTCAGACACCTGCCTGACTGCTGTACAGCTCAGTCAGTCTTTTCAAGCACCTCCTGAACTAGGTCCAGCCTGAAATCTGGCGTTAAGTTCACCCTTTACATCTTATTGTTCTCAAACGTCCACAACAGCAACATAAAGTGCTCCATTACAGGCACTTTATCCACAGTGGACTTCTAGCTAATCCATCTTATAGCTCAGCCCCCACACCCTGCTTCTCCTATGCCCAAGGGGGCGTCCCTGTCCATCCCGAAGGCTAACAAATTCTCCGTCCCTACTGTGCTGCCACATGCTTAAACCAGCGGTTTACAACCTAGAGCTCCGTTTATGATTTTCTTTTCACAAATCTCAGGAATTGCTAATGTTAACATCCAACCTTTTTTTTTTTTTTTTTGCTGTTACTGAAGACAGGGGACATTAATTAATCCCTGGGTTCTGGGATCCTCAGGTTTGATACTGTTGTACCAATAGCTTTAGAAGAGTTGTGATCCTGTGGTTTTGATACTGACTTTGTAATTCAGCGCACAGCCCAGAGTAATCTGGGAGTCAAACATTCTACTTACAGAATTTCATGCAGTATCAAGCCTTCTCATCATTGCTCTCCAGAATGGCATCCTCCAAAGAGGGGGAAAAATACTCAAAAAGGCAGCTCTTGAAGACTGTCACTTGTAGAGTGTATCTGGGTAAATATATTACACATTACCAGCCAACTGGCAGACAATTACAATTATGGAATGAGGCCCACAATGTTACGAAACAGAGGATATGTTTAGAATAAACATATGGACCAAAAAGGATAACCCACTTAAGAGAAACCGTCAGGTCATTCTGATTTGAGGGCACTCTGCAAAATTTTACAGAATGAAAGTGTCACCGCTTAGCGAGCTGGGCGGCTCCCTGGCTTGGGCTCCTCTGCAGTGAGTTTTTAAAGGATACAAGCGGCTGCGTCCTTTCCGTGCCCGGAAACAGGAGCCGTTCCCTCCTCCCTGGGACGTTCCAGGGGATGGCTTCTTAAACTCGGGAAAGGTGAGTGGCAGGGTTTTGTATTTAAAAAAAAAATTAAATGTTCTTTACCAAGATCTGGACTAAGCATAATTCTAAGTAGCCACATTAGGGACAGAGCACAATAACAGGGCTAAGCTGATACTCCCCCACTGAAGATTTTCTGTTCAGCGCCAAAGCCTGGTTTTCCATTTTAGGATGCGGGGAGGATGGTAGACAGGCATACTGGGATGCTGCTGGGGCTGCAGCCCACTGCTGGGAACCCTACAAACGCGATCGTGGATGGAGACAGATTTAGTCTCACTTCCTACGGAAAGAAATAAAGATCGTCACAATCTGCTGGGGAAGAGCACAGATGTTGGCTCTGACTTAGAACCCTGAAGCAGGGAGAGAAGAAAAGAATGAGGAGAAAATGGGACAGGCTGACAGACACAGCAGTGATGTCACTGTCCCTCTAGAATTTAACATGACTGGGCCATGGACTGCGGCAAAGCAGAGTTCATTCTCTGATTACCAGCTCTCCTTCCCTGGCTATGAAAGACGTGTTTTTTTTCACGTCTCCAGCATCTTCTGTTCCTGAAGACCTGGTAGGAGTTGTCACCTTCCCAGGTAACGTCTCACTTGGAAGTGGCCTTGTTTGAAAACTTACTTCTGTCTTTAATTATAAGGCAGACTAGCTGTGAGACACGCGGCCCATCTCTCTCCCAGGTCCCGCCCACGGTCACTATCCGAAGCAGTTCTGTTTAGTTCTGTGGGAGCACTTGAATTTATGCCCCATTAAAGTTCCCTTTTGAAAATTACGAGCTGAAGCCACATCTAACAATCATGACGTTCTCTGCATCCCACGCACAGGCTAAAAATGGAAAATTCATTTCGTGGTCGTAGAACCAATAAAAAAATATGACTTCATTTGAAATGCCTAATTCTTAAAAAAAGGAAATTAAGTAATTTCAGGTGTTTATACAACGTCCTTATGACTAGAGCATTCTATAAACACTGAACATGCTCCGAGAAGGTTCTCTTATGTCATAAGAAATTACAGCTTCGACAGGAGGCCAAAACCTTTTCTGCCGCTGTGAGATTTGCTTTTAGTTTCAAATTTAACTCTAACATTTTTCTTTTAGTACCAAGGTCAAGACAGGGCCTCTTAATATTTATGTTCTTACTCATCTTTCATTAGCCACAGTGCAAAGAAGTGTTGCCAGTTTCCTACCTCAAGACGGGGTGACATAAATGACTCCGGGTGTGACCACCTGGGATGAGTCAATGAGTCCCCACTGTGTGCCAGTGGGACCAACGTTCTCTAGGAAAAGCTCATGTGGTCATATTCTTATTGAAGATAAGTACCCCAAGCCTCAAGCAATATCAAAGGCATAGCTGAGTTGAGACATTCCTAAAACTGCCTACAGTACTTACTAAGAGTGTCCCCTTACCTTTTACTATTTTTGGGAGGAGGGAGGGAACACCATCTGACATGAATAGAAGAACCAAGGACTCTGACTCCACCAAGACTTCCCCCAAATATTCCACGACCCCTACTGGGTACAGGGCTCTCTGGGCTTGTGTCTTAAGGTCCCTGGAAGAATCTGGAAAGAGCAGGGAAAAGTCCAGACCAGCAACTTCTGGAGAGTTTCTGTGTCATGGGACAGACGCTGGAGGTGGGTCTTCTCTCAGGAACGCTTTGCAGCAGTGAGGGCTCTGCGTGGACAGCTAGCCACGATTGTCCTGCACGGAGGGCTGCCCGGCTGTCCATGACCTGGTTCCAGCCTGGAGGCCACCACTGCCCTTCACTCTCCTTAGTCAGCCCTGTTCCACTGGCCCAGCAGGACTCTGGGCTCTTCCTCATCAGCCCCAGCCTTTGCTCACACCCTTCTGTCTGCAATGCCCTTCTTTCTCTCCGCTCTTCCCGTCCATGTATATTCCCTCAGCTCATCTGAAATATCCTCTCCATGAAAGCTTCCCTCATTCATCGCCCAGCTAGTGGTTTCCTTCTCCTCTGACTCCCCCTTCTCCACGACATGACCTCTGTAGCCCTCCCACGTTTTAACCTGTACAGTTGTCCTCTCTTTTCATCTGTTCCCTTCTCTATAAAACAAAAAGGTACTAGAGTCCAGAGTCCAGGGGTTATTGATGGTGACTTTCCTAGCATCTAGCCCAGTAATTCCGTGGTTTTGAAATGAGGCTCTGCACAGCCCCAGGGTTCCAGACAGGCCACCCGGTCGGGGCACAGGGCCATGGGGAGACCCCTTCCCTCCAATCTGTGCTTTAGTCAGGTGGGTTTGGATGGTAATTCTTCTATTTATTGGGATTTGTGTAATTTTTTTTAAGGATTCTGCTGGAGGTAGAAGAAAGAAGGAAACCACTGCAATAGACAGTGTCAAATAAATAAAGAGAATCACCCTATGCCTTGAACACTTTCTCCCTTTAGATAGAAAGAAATCCAGTGATCAAAACTGAGCTGCGAAGGTTCAGAGTGCCTGTCAATCAAAGGACATGGTCAAAACAGAGGGCCCTTTCTGTCCTGTATGATCACTTTACATTAAAATTTGATAGACGCTCCCCCGAGCTCTGAATGAATTATATTTAAGGAGGTAAATGGAACCACGCTAGCACCTAGTTCTGCTCTGTGGTGTGTGTGTGTGTGTGTGTGTGTGTGTGGCGTGCACTTGAGCACACCCACAATGCTCTGATCGCAGTGTAACTTCCAGGGTACAGGAGAGATTACAAATGATGCTCGTGTCTCTTGCAGCCCCCTCCCACCAAATAAATCTACTCCTCAGTCATTCCCCATCCGTGTAAGTGGCACTAACATCCACTCTGCTGCTCAGGCTGCAAATCTAAGGGTTCCTCCTGATTTCTCTCTTTCCTTCACTACCCACATCCAATTTATCAGTAAATACTGTTGGTTCCACCTCTAAAACATGTTCCGAAGTGGCTCATTTCCCCCCGCCATCTGCGGCGACCAGCTGCTATGGTTCACGGCATCCTGGTTTCATACCTCCGTCACCGTGTTCATACCTCTTCTCAGCTCCGCCTTCTGCACTCTCCCCCTATTATCCGTTCTCTAGGCAGCGTGTTCAAACCTCTTCTAGTAAGAACCCTCCAAGTTTCCTGTCAAACGTACAGGAAAACTACTATTCATGTATCACTGCAAATTAAACACATTTGTTCATCCTGAGAATCATCTGTTGGGGAGTTTTTCTTTTTTTTAAGAAAGAAAAGAAATTAGCAGGTGACTGGGCAGAAAGACCAGAAGGACCAGCACATCACTCAAAAACAGAAAGGACTTACGGCTTCAGATTTGGGAGGCACTGGAGGTGGAGGTAGGGCAATCTCTGAAGACTTCATTGCTGCTCCCAGAGTTCCGGGGACAGGAAGGGGAGAAGTTGCGCACTTGGACCGGGCAGAACCTCTAAACTGATCACACCTGCTCTTCTCGCTCAGGGAGCGCGTGAGAGGCTGATGGCTGGGCTTGCCTTCCTCCAGCCACAGCTCTTCATAAGGGAGCTCTGACTTCCCCGGGAGGCCCGCCGATTCTTCACTAGCTTCTGGGAAAAGGTAGTCGCTCCCACTGTCACCCGAGTCCTGATAGGGCAGGATGTCATGAGGGAAGGGGGCCCACTCTCCCCCCAGGTCCCTGCAGCCGTGGAGGTTCACCTCGCTGTTGCCATGGAGATTGTTGCCATACACACAGACCGAGAGCCGGTGGAAGGACTGGGTGAGCTCGTCGCGAGCGTAGCTGAGGGAGTTGGGCACGTGGTTGTGGCCAGTGCACCGGCCCTTCTTGGGACTCTTACAGTCCTCGTTCCAGTCCGTTTTCACGTCGCGGACCGCCCGTGAATACTCATCGATGTCGAACTGTTCTTGGCAGATACCCAGCCAGTGATGGACCAGGGTTTCGGGCCACACTTCCCCCTTCACCAGGTGTTCCGGGAGGCTAAACTTGGGGACGGTCAAGTGCAGAGGGAAGTGCATGGGGAGGATCTTGTTGTTCCGCAGCACACAGCAGACCACCACGGTCTTGGTCTGGATGTTCACAAACTTGTAGCGGTGCCCCTCGCGGATGAAGTGGAGGTCGTACGGGTTTCTCGGTGGAGGGCTGGGCACCGTCACATTCACGGGAAGCCTGGTTTTCTCCACAATGTTGCGGATGGTGTGCTCGCCCTCCTGCATCTGAAGTTCCAGGGGGCTCCGCGTGCTGAACCGGCCCTTGCACTGGAATGGGAGGCTGACGCTCTCGTTGGTCCGGTGATTCATGCAAATGAGGCACGGCATTTTGCCTTTTCCCAGCTTGCTGATGGAATTGAGCTTCCCAATCTTTTTGAAGATGGTGTTGAGTCGTGACTTCTCCTTGAAAGTCTTTGCATACAGGATTTCTGCCTGGCCCATTAGTGTGAGTTCATCCCCTGTACATAGGGTGATGTTGTAAACTTCTGTATCTTCATTGCATTCACCTGAAGCAACCTACCACAGAACAGATCAAATTTTAGGGTGGTTTTCTTTTGTTTATTCACACAAAGAAAAATGCTGTTTTATTTTAATACCAAATTTAGACACTCCATTTCTTTTATAATATTTATGCGGTTAACGATAACCAGATGATGTTAGCTTAGACTTTTAAAAACACGTGTTTTTTTCCTGAAGAAAAAGGTGCTCTGTATTCATTAGTAACACTTTAGGAAATACAGAAGAAAAACACAAAAATAAAATAATATCCTGACTCAGAGATAGAAACGCTTAATGATTTGATAAACATCCTTCCAATTTCTTTTCCTATGTAGTCTACCATATGGGTAATTATTTGGGGACATTAATATTATCACTGCATCTTTTTCAGTTATAAAAATACTTTCATGAATACCATTGTAGAAAATTCTTTAACTATTAAAACTCTGCTTATTTTTTAACATAATTTTATTACATTTCCAATTTTTTCTAAAACTGGAACTGGGACAAAGGGCTTAAAAATGTCTTATTTCTCCCCCTTCCTTTATTTTATTATACAAACTACTCACATTCATTGGAAGAAATAGCAGAAAATACAGATATTAAAACAAAACAAAACAAAACAAATTCTATACAATCTGACCACTGAAGATAACCTGTTAACAATTTTGTATCAATAGAAAAAAAAAGTCTATCAATCTATCTCAGAGCTATATATAAACACACCGAATTTTACTGCTGAATTTTTCACTATAACGTATCCATTTTCCTGTGTATACACTCCATCAATTGTAATACTGACCTAACGTATTCCATTCTATATGGATATGCCTTAATTTATTTGACCAGTTCCTTATTGTCAGACAGATGGGATTTCCCAATTTTTAGCAATTATAATAGTACCGCAACAAACTTTTCTGCACTTCAATTATTTCCTTAGGATAAAGACTGAGAAGTGGAATTGCATGGACAAAGCTATGTGTATTTGAAAGGTCTAATATTTATTGCCCATGGTACTTCATCAATGTTACAATTATTCATGTTTCTATCTATTGTTGTGGATCTCAGTTTGTTGCTATTCTGTTATGTCCAGTAATCTTACTGTAATAATTCTTTCCAGTTGATTTTCTTTGGATTCCTAGGTGATCGTATCTTTCATTTTTTCAGTTTTCACCCTTTCTCTCCCACAACAGAGCGGTGGTGGTGAGAGTGTTTGTTTACATTTTATTGTGAATATCACCTGTGTTTTAATGTCAACTATGAGAAATTTGTTGGCTTGAAATGGAATTTTTAAAATCACATTAGTCTTTCCAATTCTAGTTTTCTAAAAGTTTCCACAAAGAGATTAATTTTTTATTTTTACCAAATGGTTTCTGTATCCAATAAGATAGTCATGTGTTAATTTTAAATTTTGAGGTACAGATTTTATATTATAATAGTAGGTTCCCAAATAGTAAAAAAAAAAAACCTTACATGCCTGAAATAATCTCTACCTGATCATGGCACACTTAAAACTACATGGCATGTTTCTCCTTGACAGTATTTATCTATGATCTATGTATCTTAGCCACAGGTGAGAGTAATGTACAGTTTTATTATTATGTTATCTTTACCTGGTTTTAGTATCAGGCTTACATTAAGCTTGAGATGAACTTTTTCTTTTTATGTTAATAAAAAAGCATCTTGGGTAAAGTGACTGACAATGTTCAGATGACTTACTGGGTAGTCACCCTCATATGCATTTACAGAACTAGGTGGTAACAATCCTTGTAAATAATTTCTTACCTCTTCTGGGTCATCTCTATATAATTTTAATCTTTGGAAAAAGGAATTTGTCAATCAAAATCAGTGCTATAAAAAACAAACAGTTCTCTCGTCTCTGTAGTGAAGGGAGTTTGTCTGAAGGAGGCGTTATTAGTACATAAATGGCAGCACAATATTTAAGGGCAGTTCAGGGCTCCTAAGGTTTAAAATCCATTTTAGGTGACTCAGGTAAGTATTGTTACTATATTTTTTTTCAACAAGACCTCAACTTAACTGTGTTTAGTTTCAGTCTCGGCATTCACCTGGACTTCTACATCGGAATAAGTTTGGGAATTTAAATTCAGTAATAAATAATAAATAAGTACAATTTAACTTTTTATTTAGAATAATTTCAGATTTGTAGAAGAGTTGTGAAGGTAGTGGAAAGAGTACCTGTAATGCCCTTCACTCAGCTTCTCCTGTTAACATCTTACAAAACCGTGGCACATGGTCAAAGCTAAGAAATGAACATGGTACAATCTACTAACCACATGACAAGCTTTATTTGGATTTCACTAGTTTTTTCCACGAATGTCTTTTTTCTGTTCTGGGACCAAACCAGGATATCATACTGCAACCAGTTCTCTGTTCTGTGAGTTTCTTGACCTCTCTTTGTTTTTCATGACCTTCACAGTTTTGGAGAATATAGAGCAAGGCTTTTTTAAGCTAATACATAATTTATACAGGACAATACTTGGCACACGGGATAGCTGTCTTTCTTTTCCTACAGGACCTTAACTTTCAAGGTTTCAGTTATTTTATTCTCCTGACTTTGGTCACCAAAGGTCTTCAGAAAAGATTTATTGGCTATTCATTTTAACTTTTGGTTTATCCCTAAGGCTTTTACTTGCAGTGAGTATCTAGTTAAGCTTATAACAATACAGATCAGAGGTCAGCAAACTATTGCCTACAGTCCATGCTGGCCCCGACTCTGACTTAGTAAATAAAGTTTTATTAGGACATCGCTATGCCCATTCCTTTCCGCATGGTCTCTGGCTGCCTTCACTCTCTGATGGCAAGGTGCAGAGCTGCAGGAAGGACTGTATGGCCGGCAAACTCTAAACTATTTACTCTTTGTCCCTTTACGGAAAAGGTTTGCTGACCCCGGGTACAGACGAATGAAAAGGACCATGGCCTTTGGAAATTAACTGGCACAATACTACGAATGGTACAATACTAATAACTAAACTACGAGCTAAGT